GTCTGGGGCTTGAATTGTGTCTGCCATGTGGTAGTCCAGTGCCTTAACCACCATACTACGTGCTGGCCCCTAAATACTTTTTAATATCAAATTAGAAATTGATCATCAAAATGGTCCTTTCTTTAAAGTGTTATGAAATTTCCACATATACATCTACCACATTTCATATGGATAGACAAAAAAATGTGTGAGAAATAATAGGTAATACATGTTAGTGCCTTGGTTTTGTTTAACGTAAAGAATGTGTTTTTACTTGTGTCCCTTTGAGGATTCTCAAGACTCTCCCTAGGTTCTGCAATTCACTCAGAGACCTCACCAGACTCAGCATATGGTTGTGCTCATGGCTGTGATTTTAGGAGGAGAATGGCGGAGAAGGGACTACCGTGTGGCCATACTCCCTGGGGGTGATTTTTCACTTTCCCTCTCTCTCTCTGTGGCCAACACACATGCCCTATGGCAAAAACCTTTAAAAAAAAAAAAAGGCTACGATTTATTATAATGAAGAAATTAGCAAAAAGGAAAAAGTACATTGAATCATACCTAGGAAAGACCATGCACAAGGTTCCCCAGTGGAGTCACACAGGATGAACTTAATTCTTCCATAGTGAATTGTGACAGCACAGATGAAATACCGCCTACCAGGAATAGAGGTTTATCACCAAGGCACCATTTATTAAACTCAGCATGAACAAAAAGTCCAGACTTCCAGGAAGAAAACAAATGTCTGAATAAACCATATTTGCACAGTTCAGGCACAGTGAACCACTTTCATCAAGGAATGGTGGAACTTGCCCAAAGTATAAGTTCCTGATGCCAGCCAATGGCCAACTTTGCAAGCAGGCTTTTCTAAGGATAACAGCCTCAGGTATATTGTTTCTTCTGTATGCTGCTCACATTGGTATTTAATTACAGAGTAGTTTGCCATGGAAATTTAACTCCTTGGTGCTCAATATAAAAATCTCGAAACTGATTTCTACTAGTTTGCACTTTTCACGTTCTATTTTAATACTTTATTTTTATGATTTGGGAAATAGATATGTGCCTATTTTATTTCAAAGTAATGTGTTCTAGTAAGTGGGTGTTTTTTATTTTAACTTTTAAAACGTGAGGTATAAATATGGTAGGATATTGAACATTTTCATTCCAGTGACATTTGTTTATTTTGGTAGACCATTTGTACAGTTTTGAGTTGTAGGGTTTAGGAATGCTATTAAGCACACCTATGCCGTTCAGAATTTTTTCAGTAGTATTTTTTATTTCACTGCTATTTTTCTCCTTCATGTATTTTGATTTTGCTTGATACATAGATTAACATCCTCACCGTTCATTTTGGCTAGTCTACTGTTTCATTGTTGTTGTTCTTACTAATTTTGTTAAGATTTTAACCTGAATCAGATTTTGATAGTTCATACCTAGGCAGCAATTATTAATTTAACATTTTCCAGTGTATTTCATAACTACTTAGAGATAGGCTTTTTAAATTTTTTAAGAGAGGGAATTTTGTTATGGGGTATGTGCACTCCCCAGGGAGAGACAGAGAGACTGAAAGCTAGAAATCACCCCCCAGGGGAATGGCTATACTACAGTCCCTTCTCTTCCATTCTCCTCAGGAATTTGGGCACGCATGCACACACATACCCAGCATGACTTTTAAGCCACCGTATCTAGGACTCAGACTGTGATCAATCATGTGGGAGTCCAGCAACATAACCATCATGCTATCTGCTGGTCTCAGCGGATAGGCAACAGGCAGTATATTGGTTAAGGTGCTGATCCCACATGATCAACTGCAGTTTGAGTCCTGGAACTGTTGAGTTGAAAATCATGTTTGTGTGTGTGTGTGCGTGTTCATGCGCACACATGCACACACATGCCTAAAATCCCAAGAGGAGAATGGAGGAGGGATTATGGCGTGACCATTCCCCTTTGGGGATGATTTCTCACTTTTCCTCTGTATCTCTCTTCTCCAGTGAGTGCACATGCCCTATGACAAAAAAAAAAAAAAAAAAATGGGGGCCAGCAGGTGCCATGGTGGTTAAGGGCACTGGACTCCTACATGGATAACTGTGTTCAAGTCTCGGACCTGGTCACTTGCTTTCTCAGTTTCCCTCTCTTTCTCTCTCTCACTTTGTCCCTCCTGGTCAAATTAAAATAAACAAACGAATAAATAAAGTTAAATAAAAAAATTATTTTTAAAAATTAACACTGCTTTTTATGACTTAGACTGATATAATGAATAATACTGATACATTTCTATTTTTGCTTATGATAATTGTAATTTAGTTTTCATTGCCTACTTAAGATTTATTAACTTTGAATTTTTAGAAGTGATCATTTGTTATTAACATTAAGCTTTTGTTTTATAGAATTGCTGTCAACTTGAGAATATTTTTGTTGTTTCTAGAGATAGGATTTAGTGATACTCAGATATGGAAAAACTTGTCTACAAAGGAGACAAGGGATAAAACTCTAAACCTCAGAGAGCCTGTTGGTAAGGCAGGTCTTCTCATTCATAGATTCATTAAGTGTTCATGGGTGGCAGTATAAGGGGCCCAGTAAGGCAAACAAAGGTGGTAAAGAAGTATTAATTTCACTTTGAATTTATATAAAAGTTTATTTCATTCATTTACTGTCCTGAAGGACATGTGATATACATGTATCCTACAATTGAAACAAAAACCTTTTTTTTATGAATTAGGAGTGAAGCAGTTTCTAACTAGAGACAGGAGGGAAAGCAACATGAAGGAAATGACCTAAGTTACCTTAAAAGATAAGGAGTTCAGTGTTGAGTGTTGAGCAAGACAGTTGTATTCTACTGAAAGGAACTGTCTTGCCAGTAGTAACAAGATAAGGTAGGACTGATTATGTTTTATAAGAAATCATAAGTAGGGGCCAGCAGGTGGCATCTTGGTTATGACTCTGGGCTTCCACATGGCTGAATGCGGTTTGAGTCCTAGACCCAGCAGCTTAAAAAAATCACACCAGGTGTGTGTGTGTGTGTGTGTGTGTGTGTGTGTGTGTGCGCCCAAAATCCCAGGAAGAGAGTGAAGGAGAAGGAATTGTAATGTGGTCATCCCCACCAGGGACTGATTTCTCACTTTCGCTCTCACTGTCTCTCTCCAGCACACATGCTTTATGGCAAAAATCTTTTTTTTTTTTTTCTAATGTCAGTGGTGCATTTTGACCAGAGCATCATCATATACTTTAGAGCACTTTCTTTGGATTCCAGACTTGACAAGGTTATACTTTAGAGGTAGACTTTAAGAGCTCCTGAAACAGGGCTGGCAGATGACGTGGTGGTTGAGATTGCTAGACTCCCACATAGCTGACCATGATTCAAGTTTTGGACCTAGCAGCTCGCTTTCTCATTTTTCCCTCTCTCTTTCTCTCTCTCATCAAATTAAATAATAATAATAATAAATAGAAAAGTTAAATAATTCTTTTTAAAAATTCTCTTGAAACATTTAAGTGAAGGGACAAATATGATCAAAGCAGCGTGAGAAAATCATAGAAAGATTAATATAACAAGCATTCACAATGAGATACAGTCATGTGGCTATTAGCTCAAAATTTAAGACATTGGTACTAGGGAAGATTATCACAGGTGGGCTTGATAATTCTGCCGAATCCTGGCAAGATCAGGAAAAATGATTTGAGAAAGTAACACTGGATTGGTATTCTGAGGAAGCAAATGTGAGTACACCGAAAGTAGAACCAGAATTTAAGCAGTAAGAATGATAAGGTGAAAAAGGCAAGACAGTAAACAGATCGTTCTTTATAAGAAGTTTGGTGGTTGAAAGAAAAGGAGAAAACAATAAGCAAGGGTTTTTGGAATTGTGAGGAAGAACTTATTTTTTTAAATAGGCAGGATGTCACAGTGGAAATAAAAGAAATATGTGAAGATGGAAAAATTTAGGTGAATAAGCATGTTGGGAGAATTTCATGCTTAAAGTGAAATAACAGGTGGAAAAAATGAATGCCTTCTTTTTGTTAACTGTTAGCTTAATAAAGCTTTTTCATATTATCTTGGGAAACAGTACTTTTCTGGGGAAAACAATACTTTTTGTGACGCTGTTTACTTTTTTCTATCTTATTACACGGAAATGAATATGCTGTGATAATGTAAAGTGTTTATATGTACACTTAACTCTGTGAATTAATCTTTTATTCTTTGGATTTCTAAATTTCTGAACCCAATATCTAATCCCTTTTGTTCACAGAAACACTATAATATTACAAGCTTGCAATGTCCTAAGTCTTTTTTCTTCTGCTTTTTATTCATCTCTTTATCAGTATGTGGAAATGACTTGATCTTAGCACATGAGAGATGATTCTAATTTTGTCATCTCTTTTATGATACTTCTGTAGGTTCTTCACTGGAACTTTGTAAACTGTGGTGGAAATAAAGTAGCCCATTTTAGATGAAGAGCAGTCTATTAAGGTGGAAATATGGGTATAAAAATAACCAAATTGATATATATGCTTTACTAAATATTTTTCTTTCCTTATGATTTACAAATTTCCTTGATACCTACATAAAGTTTTTAATACCTGAGATAAAATTGACAATACACATTAATGGGAAATATCTGGAGGGCATTGTAAATATTGACCTTTGTTTAACTTTCCATTTCTGAATTCCTTACTTTAAAATTTAAAGAATATATTTTCTAATACATTCATTCATACATCTCATCACTTCAGCAAACTGAATTGAGCATCTGCTCCATGTCAGAGTAGTAGTACACACTGTAATTTTAACTTTACCCTAAAACTTCCTCTTGGGGTGTGTGTGTGTGTGTGTGTGTGTGTATGTATGTTTGTAGAGAGAGTAAATGAGAAATATTGACCAAATTTTGCTTATCAATACTATATAAAATGAGTTTCAAATATAAAACTAATTCTGAGTAAGTTTTATTTATTATGAAACAATTCCTTAAGCTTGTTTTTTTTTTTATGTAATTAAAATATAGAATTTCAAAATAAATTTTTCCCAACAGGTGGGAAGGAGAAACCAAAAACAAATGTAGAAGACTTACAAATTAAAAAGGTAAAGAAGAAAAAGAAAAAGAAACACAAAGAGAATGAAAAACGAAAACGTCCAAAAATGTACAGCAAATCTATTCAGACCATCTGCTCAGGATTGTTATCTGATGTTGAAGATCAAGAAGCCAAAGGCATCCTAAATGATAACGTAAAGGATTACATTGGAAAGACTTTGGATACCAAGAACTGTGATTCTAAAATTCCAGAGAACAGTGAGTTTCCATTTGTCTCATTAAAGGAACCACGAGTTCAGAATAACCTCAAGAGGTTGGACACTTTGAAATTCAAACAGCTCATTCATATTGAGCACCAGCCTAATGGAGGTGCATCTGTTATCCATGCCTACAGTAATGAACTCTCCCACCTGTCTCCTATGGAGATGGAGAGGTTTGCAGAAGAATTTGTGGGTCTAGTGTTCAGTGAAAATGAAAACTCTGCAGCTTTCTATGTAATGGGTATTGTTCATGGGGCAGCTACTTACTTACCTGACTTTCTAGACTACTTTTCATTTAATTTTCCCAATTCACCAGTGAAAATGGAGATATTAGGAAAGAAAGACATAGAGACCACGACTATGTCCAATTTTCATGCTCAGGTAAGGTTTTTAGATTTATTTAAAAGAAAAAACTTTCAGTGATTTTTGTAGACACATTTTTGTTCTTTGTTTCTAATTTTGCTGTATATTTGAAATAAAAAGGTAAGAATATATTGAAACCTTTTGGGGGTACTAAAAATAAATTAGTTGATGTTAGCATCAGTGTTTAAGGGTAATTTTCTATCAGTCTTTTTTTTTCTTAAAGATAATTAATGAAATAATTAAGATCCTATTGTCTTTCTTTGGAAGGATTTATCTTGGACCAATGAAATGAACTTAGCCAGGTATTTTACAATCCTTAAAAGAATTTTCTTTCCTAAAAGTCACCTAAAATTGTCTTCTTGCTTTGTAATGCCTTAAAAGTACTAACTATTGGGCCCATCATGTAGTAGGTGGTGAATAAATGTTGGCCATTGAATATATAAGGGTATAAAGAAATCATAGTTATTGTGTAATTAGTTATGTGAGAAAATTGGCAGTCAGTGCATAAAATGAGGCCATTACCATTTTCTACATGTCTCTGCAGTGTAGAATATGTATTATTCTAGAAAGCAGAGACAGAATTGAGTCTACTCATTATTGAAGCTAAATGTGGGCCCACAGAAAAGACTGGTGCTGAGCTGGTTTTGTGGCCTAGAGGTATGTGGACCCCCACATGGCTGACCACGCAGTTTGAATCCCAGCCTCAGAGGCTTGAAAAACTTACCGGCTTGCTCACTTGCACGCTTTCTCTCTCGCTGTGTGTGTGTGTGTGTGTGTGTGTGTATGTATGTGACCCTGGCAGGACAGAGAAATGGAAGAGAACGGATTACAATGTGACCGTTTCCCATTGGGAAGACTGTCTCTCCCCTTCTGTATCTTTAGTGAGCACACAATGCCCTCTGGCAAAATTTAAAAAATAAAATAAAAGGCTAGTGTTATTGTCATCCTTAGATTAGGGACTACCTAGGCTAGGAGATTGGCCAAATCTTAGCATTTGTTGGTGCTATAGATTTTGTTTTCTAAGAACAAAAATAATTGACAACATTTTGTTTTAGAAGTAAGGAAAAACAAAGAAGCCTCAAAGGAATTTTTGTGATTATCTGTCTGAATATTTTCAACTTACAGATAAGCAAACTCATACAGAGGGATAACTTAACTGTTTTAAGTCCATCAGCAGTGCCAGGAGTGGAACAAAATCTTAATCTTTATCTAGTGATCTTTTCCTTATTCATAGTATATTCCTGTTTTTGTTAGGTGTTCTAGTTACAGTCTTCACCTTAAATGAGGATGTTTAATCACATCTAGATGTACCAAATACCCTGCCTTCAACAGTGTGTTTGCGATTATGTCTGCTAAATGTAGGTTTTGTGCTAGACCTCTTGACTTTTAGTCTTAGTTATTTCCATAGTATTAGAACATTTTTGTTGTCATACTACACCTGCAGTAATCTTTTAAATGTACTTATACATCAATGCATTATATGCTTTTCAAGTAAGGTTAGAATAAAGCATTTTTTTAAAGAGATTTTTGCTATAAGGGCATGCGTGCTTGCCAGAAAGACATAGACAAAGTGAGAAATCATCCCCCCAGGGGGGATGGCCACACCGCAATCCCTTCTCCTCCATTCTTCTCTCAGGATCTTGGGCACGCACACACACGCACCTGGTGTGAGTTCAAGCCACCGGGTCCGGGACTCAAAACTACATGGGAGTCCATCAAACATAGCCACTATGCCAACTGCTGGTCCCTAGAAAATATTTTTAAAAGAATTATTTAATTTTATTTATTCATTCATTTTAATTTTACCAGAGAGAGAGAGAGAAAGAGCAAGTGAGAAAGCAGGTCCGGGACTCGAACTGTGGTTGGCCATGTGGGAGTGTCCAGCACCTTAACCACTATGCCACCTGCTGGACCCGATTAGAAATTATTAATTTTATATTAAATGGTAAGAATTTTCATCTTTATTTTAAAATTTTTTTTTTTCCATTAGTGAAGTAGATATAGTACCCCCAACAGGACCTTGATCCCACAATCTGCTCCCAACCAACTCCAGATCGTAGTAGTGCACATACCTGACATATTCAGTGAGGTCTCTGATAGGAACTCAAAACCTTCTATGTGGGTTGCCCTCATAGAGCATTGCATTTTACCACTGTGCCATCTGACCCAAAGTTTTCAACTTAACTGTTAACTATATGCAGTATGAAACCAAGCTTTTGTTATTAAATGAAATGTTAGGCTTGCTAATTGTGCTAGTGTGTGCCTGGCATTAGATTTTGGATCTCAAGTCCTTGATAATCTATACACCCTAGTTGGTATTACTTCTTCAGGCTTCTTGGAATATATTTTGCACAGAGGAAACTCTAGGTGGATGCAGCCTTTTTGTTACCAGCTGTGGCTCTGGCCCCATATCTGCGAGATCTGTTACCCTGATGACTTAAACATGGCAGCTGCAAGAACTTTTGCTCCTTTAGCTTTAGACTTAAAGCAAACTATATGGATAAAGTCCATACTCTTTTCTCATATTCTCATATATCCTTGAGATCTTATTCCTGTGCTATGAGGAAGACTAGTGAAAAGCTGCCTTGAAAAACTCATTGATACTTTCCCCACACTACAATCTTATTACTTGGCTTTTTTTTTTTTTAATTTAATTTTTAAATTTATTTATGCACTGAATCACTGTACATCACCACAGCTTATAAACTGAAATTTTCCAGCATGAATACACTGTATATCAGTTCAGTTAAAGATATTATCATACACATTGTCATCAACAGGCAATTCTGCATTTCTGTGTCCCTTAAATGCTTTATCTGTCTGCTTCTCTCCCTGATTTCCTCCCTCTCAACCTCCTCTACCTTCCACCCTCTTCCACATTATCTCCAGTATCCACAACTGTTCTCCATGCTTCTATATCCTCCAGTCTTTCAGTTTCTGCTGTAGAGTGTGGGCATTTGGTATTAAGTGGAGATATATAGTCTCTTTCTTTCATAGTCTGACTTGCTTTATTCAGCAGTAAATCTTCCATATGTGGTCCACTTTCTATCAAATGCCAGGATCTTGTTTCTTATGACCGAGTAGTGTGTATGTGTGTATGTGCCACATTTTTTTTCCATTTTATTTTATTTTTTTATCATCATAATCTTCTTTATATTACATTGGATTACATATAACTTTATAGTGTATTACATTGCTTTTTCAAAAGGGAATGCCATGCATGTCAGTCAATACAGAGACATTAATCTCCCCGCTTCAACATTCAGTATCTTTTCTATGATTTTCTCAATTATTATTGTTTATGTCCTCCGAATTTTTGCTCTCTATTATAGAGTGCGGATAGTCGGTATATATTGAGTGGATACATACAATATCTTTCTTTCATAGCCTGGCTTACTTCACTCAGCAATAGATCCTCCATATCTGACCATTTTCTATCAAATTCCAGGGTCTTGTTATTTTTTATGGCTGAGTAGTATTCCATAGAGTATATATACCACACTTTTCCAATCCATTCATCAGTTTGTGGACATTTAGGTTGGTTCCATGTCTTGGCAATTGTGAATAATGCTGCAATAAACATGGATGTGCAAGCACTTTTCTGACTGAGCGTTCTCCTGTCTTTTGGGTAAATACCCAGAAGTGGGATTGCTGGATCAAATGGTAGTTCTATTTGTAGATCTTTGAGGAACCTCCATATTGTTCTCCACAGTGGTTGAACTAGTTTACATTCCCACCAACAGTGTAGGAGGGTTCCCTTTTCACCACATCCCCGCCAACACTTATCACTTTTTATATTCTTAATCTTTGCCATTCTGACAGGGGTTAGGTGGTATCTCATTGTGGTTTTTATCTGCATTTCCCTTATGATGAGGGATGTCGAGCATTTCCTCATATGCTTTTTGGCTGTTCGTATGTCTTCCTTAGAGAGACTTTTGTTCAGCTCACTTTCCCATCTTTTAATCGGGTTAATCATTTTTTTTCGCATAAGGCACTTGAGTTCCCTATGTATTCTCGTTATCAGTCCCTTGTCTGAGGCATATTTAACAAAAATATTTTCCCATTCTGAGGGTTGTCGGTTCACACTTGTTACTGTGTCCTTTGCTGTGCAGAAACTTCTTAGTCTAATATAGTCCCACTTGTCTATTTTAGGGATTATTGCCTGTGCTTTGGGAGTCTTATTTAAGAAGTCTTTGCCTACTCCAATGTCTCCCAGAGTTTCCCCAGCATTTTCCACAAGTAGTTTTATTGTCTGAGGTCTTAGGTTCAGATCTTTGATCCATTTTGAGTTGACTGTTGTTAATGGTGAAAGATGGGGGTTCAGTTTCATCTTTCTGCAGGTGGATACCCAGTTTTTCCAGCACCATTTACTAAAGAGGTTTTCCTTTTCCCAATGGATTGACTGATATCCTTTGTCAAAGATCAGTTTGTGCCACATTTTTTCAATCCATTCATCTGTTTGTAGATATTTGTGTTGGTGGCTATTTTTTTTAATAATTATTTTTAAAATTTTATTATTATTTTTAAATTTGCCGTAGGGTTTGTGAGCTCACCACAGAAAGACAGAGAGAGAGGAAAAAAAAAAAAAAGCAACTAGGTACTGCTGTTGGCCATGTGGGAGTCTGGAGCCTTAACCACCATGCCACCTGCTAGCTCCCTTACTTTTTAAGCACTTACAAGATTAAGTAAATTGTTGTCTGCAGACTAGGAGGTAGGCTTTAAGCTTGTCCCTATGTGCTGGTTTTATGAAACTGAATGGGATACAAAGAACACTAGAATTGAGTGTACTCATTCCAGTTTATTTCTATTTCTAATCCCTTGAGTCTGCTCATTAAAATCTCTACTCTTGGGGACCAGCAGGTGGCATGGTGGTTAAAGCGCTGGACACTCCTACATGGCTGACCATGGTTTGAGTCCTGGACTGGTGGCTTGCTTTCTCACTTTCTTTCTCTCTCTCTGTGTCTCTCTCTGGCCAAATTAAAATAAACAAATGAATAATAATAATAAAAAAATTAAAA